AAAAAATTATCATACAGTATAATATATTATGAGAATCTGTTTTATATTTTTGTTTTATTCAGACACTAACAGAACGGAAAGGGATGTACTTATGTGTGATTCGGGTCCAAACGGACAGGTAGTAAAAGTGGAGATTGAATCGGACACTTCGGAATACCCCCGACTATGTGATAGTAACCGGACTCTAACGCAGTTCAGGATATCCGTCAACATTACCGTTAAGACCAAGAGATGGCCCGTTAAGACAGTACTCAATGTACTTTACTTTCAAGAAGTCAGAGCTAATGGTAAATGAAATTGTATTCAAGTAAAAATATTTCAAATAAGTTTACCAATTATAATGGACAGGTAGTGCCAAAGTACAAGGCATAGGATTTGTGGAAAGTGGGGCGGAGACACTTCTGGAGACATCATTTTATGTGGTCTATAACGTCCCTAATCTGAACCCCGCCTCTTGTTATTCAATTGAAGGGCTGACCCGACAGTCAGGTGTAGGAGAGTTGATATTCGCTAAGATAGACAGTCGACGACTCAACAGTCTGTACGAGAAATACACGGCCGACCAGTTGGTCACTATGTTTAGGAGGTATAGTGTGGCCGACTGTATGGGCTGTACTATCCTCACGTATACGCCCGGCCTTATCAACGACCGGGTGCTCGAGGAGCTCTATCCCATCTCTAATGTCGAGAAAAGAGGTATTGACAGTTTAGGAGGTATAGTGTGGCCGACTGTATGGGCTGTACTATCCTCACGTATACGCCCGGCCTTATCAACGACCGGGTGCTCGAGGAGCTCTATCCCATCTCTAATGTCGAGAAAAGAGGTATTGACAGCGAAATAGCATTCATTATGACAATAAGTATTGAATTATAATTTGGATGTTTAGACACGAGTGCAGTACTGGAACAGGTATTAGACGAATGCGAGCCCTTATCGGCAAATGTGATGAGAATTGAGGAGACGGCCAGGTATCAGACACTGGACTCATGCGATGCCATCGATCTCTTTGATAGATATGACAATGATTTGAGTGAATTCGGGGTTTACATCGGCGCCAACACCATTCCCAATGCCACACACGTCAGGATACTTTACTCAAATGGATTCAGAAATAAAGGTTTTATTTGTTATGATTACCAGTATTTGCATTGAAATGATAATTGAAATTCAATTTTAGGAAGTTTTTACGGCATCGCAATCGGTATCGTAATAAAGGGACCGTTAGTTTTGTTGGGCAACGCGTACCTCGAGATCCTAGATCTGCCTAATTTCAGTCCATACAGCTGTCAATCAGAGCCGGGAGTGACTCAATTGGTGGGATCAACTGAGAAGAT